ATAAAAAAGTACTCTCTCTACTCTGTGGTCATTACTAGTATAAAGTGTTGTATTTTGTCACTAATAAATGTTTGTTTAAATTCTTTAGAAAATGATATTATTTTCATTTAATAATAACAGGTTATGGGCCCAGAAAGCCCAATAAATAAAATCAGTGCATAAAGTCTACTAAATCAGTGTCAGAAACAGTTTTGTAAAAGACCTAACCTACAAAGGCAACGTGCTTAGTTTTCAGAATAAATTTTGAGTTTTATTTCGAATTGAGCATGTCATCAAGTAATCAATTGGAATTAATTGAGAAATTAACCGGCCGTGATAACTATGCCACATGGCGTTTTGCTGTTGTAACGTATTTGTAACATGAGGAATTATGGGATTGCGTGGAATGTGTAAATTCAAGCGCAATTGACACAAAGCGTGACACTAAAGCCAGATCGAAAATAATACTGCTTGTCGATCCTGTTAACTATGTTCATATTCAAGAATCACGCACTGCGAAAGAAGTTTGGGAAAATTTATCTCACGCTTTCGATGAATCCGGGCTAACACGCCGAGTTGGTCTGCTGCGTTACTTATGCAATACTACACTAGCTGGATGTTTAAATGTAGAGGAGTATGTCAGTAAAATAATGACAACAGCTCATAAGTTAAGGAACATTGGCTTTAATGTGGCGATGAGTGGCTAGGCACACTTTTGCTGTCCGGCCTTCCTGAAAGTTACAAGCCAATGATAATGGCCATTGAAAGCTCAGGTATGAGGATTTCCTCTGACTCAGTGAAATCAAAATTATTACAAGATGTTAAACAAAATGAAAGTGATTCTTCAGCTCCTGCTACAAGTCAGAAGTTCCACAACAAATATAAAAGATTTTCTAAAGGCACTCGCTGCTATACGTGCAACAAATATGGGCATAAAAGTCCTGAGTGCAAATCATCAAAATCCAATAAAGATCAGAAGAATACAAATAAACAAAACAGTATGTCTTATGCTGCCGTCTTTATAGCTTCTTTTGAGTACTCCGATGCCTGGTATGTTGATTCTGGTGCTTCTGTACACATGACCAAACACAATAATTGGTACGACTTTCCATTGACGTCCATCAAATTGAGGGGGAGGGGGGAGGGGGAGGGAGGGAGGGGGGGGAGGTTTATTACCCTCCCCTTAAAAGGAAAAGTTACGGAGCCCCCCCCCTTTTCGAGTTTTTTTCATTTTTAATTCTGAGAAAATTTTCCTCATTTTAAGGATTAATATTAAGTGTAAAAAACCCAGTCGGCCCCCAGTCCCCGGCGGCCCCGCTAATCCTGGCTACGGTGGCAACCATGGTAACGGCGGGGCAGGGGGGCGCTAAGAATCTCCGGTGGAGGTTCGGTTGCCACCTACGACGACTCGACTTGGCAACATATAACGCACGCACTCTGAGGACTGACGAGAAGATACTGGAGCTGGAAGAAGAGGTAGACAAGTTGCGCTGGCATATTATTGGATTATCCAAGGTCCGAAGAGAGGGGGAGGATACGGCAATCCTCGAGTCCGGCAACTTGTTCTACCACCGGGAGGGCGACCATCTGTCCCAAGGAGGTGTCGGATTTATCGTCCACAAATCTCTCGTCAACAACGTTGTAAAGATTGGGAGTGTGTCGACGAGGGTCGCGTACTTGATACTCAGAGTCACCAAAAGGTATTCGCTGAAGGTCATACAGGTTTACGCACCAACCTCGGCACATCCCGATGAGGAGGTGGAGGAAATGTATGAGGATATTTCCAGAGCCATGCATTCCTCCAAAACCCACTACACGGTGTTGATGGGAGACTTCAACGCAAAACTAGGCACAAGAGAAAGCGTGAGCTGAAGGTGGGGAAATTTGGAGTAGGGGAACGGAACCGAAGGGGCCAACAGCTGGCCGACTTTATGGAGTAAGAGGGACTCTTTATGAAGAACTCTTTCTTCCAGAAGCGGCCCCACAGGAAGTGGACCTGGTCGAGCCCCGACGGTTCGACAAAAAATGAGATTGACTTCATTATGACGACCAGACGCCAACTGTTCAGTGATGTCTCAGTGATCACAAAGGTGAAAACTGGCAGCGATCACCGAATGGTAAGAGGCATACTGAACCTAAATGTTAAGTTGGAGAGGTCTCGTCTAACGAAGTCAGCGCTCCGTCCCCCTCGTGCTCTAATCCAGAATCCCGAAACCTTTCAGCTCGAGTTACAAAACCGCTTTCAGTGCCTAGAGGATTGCAATGCAGTGGACGATATGAATGACAAGCTCGTGGAAACTGTCCATGCGGTCGGAGCTAAGTTCTGCAAGACCCGCCGCAGAAGAACACAAAAACTCTCCAATCACACTCTTAATCTCATGGCTGTTAGACGGGAGATGAGGCTGCAATCGTCAGCAGATTTGACAGCATACAGGCAACTGAACAGACAGATCTCCAAATGCATGCGGCGGGACTTACGCAACTTTAATACTGCTCGTATTAAAGAAGCGATCGAGCGGAACCAGGGCTCCAAAATCTTTGCCAGAGATCTGTCTGCCAGAAAGAGCCAACTGTCAAGGCTGAAGACTGAGTGTGGCAACATCGTTTCCGGGACACCTAAGATTCTGAGTGAGATTGAGAGGTTCTATAGGCAGCTGTACACATCATCGTTGGAGCCACACGCAAGTGTGAGTAACGATTCAAGAGCAAGTCTTATTCGACACTATTCCGATGATATCCCGGACGTCAGTCTGAGCGAGATTAGAATGGCTCTCCACCACCTTAAAAACGGCAAGGCCCCGGGCGAGGATGGAATTACAGCGGAGCTTCTGAAAGCGGGTGGAACACCGGTACTTGAAGTCCTTCAGAAGCTCTTCAATTCCGTCCTCCATGGTGGCACTACTCCGGAGGCGTGGAGCAGAAGCGCGGTGCTCTTGTTCTTTAAGAAAGGCGACAACGCTCTCTTGAATAACTACAGACCGATTTCCCTTCTGAGCCGCATCTACGTGCTGTTTTCGAGAGTCATTACGAATCGTCTCGCACGCAGACTCGACGACTTCCAGCCACCCGAACAAGCTGGTTTCCGAAAAGGCTTCAGTACCATAGACCACATACATACCCTTCGGCAAATTGTACAGAAGTCCGAAGAGTACAATCTGCCACTTTGCCTGGCGTATGTGGACTATGAGAAAGCCTTTGATTCCGTCTAAATTTGGGCGGTGCTACAGTCTCTTCAGCGGTGCCTAGTTGACTGTTAGTATATTGAAGTGCTGAAGTGTTTGTACAGTAGGGCTACGATGGCTATCCGAGTACAGAACCAGAGTACGAAACCTATCCAACTGCAGAGAGGTGTAAGACAGGGTGATGTTATAACCCCGAAACTCTTCACCGCTGCGTTGGAAGACGTTTTCAAGCTACTGGACTGGAAAGGATACGGTATTAACATCAATGGCGAGTACATCACTCACCTTCGATTTGCCGACGATATAGTCCTTATGGCAGAATCGCTGGAGGACCTTAGCACCTCAATGACCTCAATGGTGTCTCCCAACGGATAGGTCTTAAGATGAACATGGACAAAACAAAGATCATGTTTAATGTCCATGTCACACCTATGCCGGTAGTTTTTGGGAGCACTATGCTCGAAGTTGTTGACGAGTACGTTTACCTGGGACAAATAGTCCGACTAGGTAAGTCCAACTTCGACCGAGAGGTCAATCGACGGATTCAACTCGGCTGGGCAGCGTTCGGTAAATTACGACACATCTTCTCGTCAGGTATACCATAATCTCTGAAAACTAAGTGTACAACCAGTGCGTGTTGCCAGTGATGACTTACGGATCATAGACGTGGTCCTTCGCTGCTAGCACTCTCGAGTGGCAGCCTCGTACCGGTAGGGGTAGTGTAGGGTGACCCCCCACTAGATGGAGTGACGACCTGGTAAGACATGCAGGAAGTCGATGGATGCAGGTGGCTCAGGACCGTGCTTTGTGGCATTACTTGGGGGAGGCCTATGTTCAGCAGTGGACTTGTGAAGGGCTGTAATGATGATGATGATGATGTAAAAAACCAGGAGGACACCTTGGGGGAGGGGGGTTCCCCCCTACGGAAGGGGGAACCCCTTTCATCAGAAAAAAATAGGGGGGACTGATTGAAAGGGATTTCTGTGTCTATTTTGAGACTGCAATGTCTACGGCGCTGCGGGAAGAGCAGCTTCTTTGCCTTTGGGTAACAAATCGCAGGCATCCATCCTCGCCTCCGCAGCTTCGGCTTGTTGGTCGCCTTCGGCGGCCAGCCTCAGCCGCTGCGGCTCGTCCCATGCCTACGATTTGTTACAGCACGCGGAGGCTGCTCTCCCTACGCGCCTCCGGCTCTATAATAACACTCTAGGGATAGGACAGACTCGTACTAAGTGGAGTAGGGGTCAACCAATTCGGTTCTTCGAAATAAGTTAAACCTAACCTATTTTATTTACTTACTTTTAAAATAAAAGAAATCAAATAAAATTCATAATTTATTAATCAATTTTATATACATATTGTATTGCTTTAATTAATTCTTTGAAAACATCTTTATGTGCTATTTTTATTTTTCTTCGCCAAGAATATTCAATTAGCCAGTCTGTAAAGTTTGCTTTATAACTTTCTCTACCGAACATCACTTTTAAATTTCTGGTGCCACAAATTTATTTGTAGGGTCGCTGTGATTAACTTTCTTATGTATATATCCATATTGAGGTAGGCAATCGTAGGCTCTCCAGAAATCGGTACGTATTTCAGTGCCCATCTCCACATGCTTTTGTATTAGTGGCACCAACATTTCCGCAGATCTATCACTATCGGGACACACTTCTAATCTCAAATCATCTTTCCCATTTTCTATCATGCCCAGCACCCAATGGCCTTCAATGTGTCTCCCTCTGTTGTACTTTCGTTTTCCAAATTTTGATTCGTCAATTTGCACGATTTTGCCCGGACCACCAATCTTGCCGTTAACTTCTTGGTGCTCCAATTCATAAACAATTACTGTCTCTCGGCAAAAAACTCGTCAGTTATTGTCCTTGTTGATAAAATTGTTTCTTTATCTTCAGGGGCTGTTTCCAATTTAACTTGAAGATAACTATATTTTTGGCTGAACATATACATCAGTAAAAATTGTAACTTGATGGACAGCCGCGCATTCTCGAACCATGTTCCCGCTGCCCGACTCACTGCCTTAGAGCGACAGTTACTCTTCCTGCATCGAAGTATGCCAAGCTGACCAGTCTTACTGCTGGAGCTTAACGCCATAGGTCTCCATTTATGATATGAGCACATTTTTTCTGTAGGAAGGAGCCTATGCTCTTCATCAAATGCAATGCACTGAGCTGGGGTGTTGAGTCGGGTTATGATTTTATACATATTCCAGTGGGACCTAAAACAAGCAAAAATATTCCTATTAGAAATCTAATTACTGCTTTACTCGTCAGTTTTTTCTGTGAAGTTCACATATTTGATATATAAGAAACCACGTGTAAGGTTTACGAATCGGTCGCCTGAATTAGGGGATGGGGGGTGGTGTGGGGGGAGGGGGAAGAGTTGTAGAGTCACCCCAGTCGACGAAGCCCCGCTTGGCGGGGCTCCTGATTCTGAGTGGTTTACAAAAAAAATAATCACGAAGGGGATGACGGGGTCTATTCGCTCGCTTCGCTCGCTCACTCTAACCCCTTCATCTCCTTCTAACCAAACCTGTCCGAATCGGGGTGCCCCACGTCCCTAGGCTCGCTTCGCTCGCTATTGCACCCAATATAACACCAAAATATTAACTTTTATAACTACTTTAATTAATAAACATAATTTATGGCTGCCACTATTTGAAAGAAAGGATCTTTGCGATATTTAGCAGTATTCCGCCGCCACAAATATTTCACTATTCACCAAAATTATGAAACTCTGAAGCAACGGCATGACGAAAAGCTGTCAACAAAATGGCCGGGCTTTTTTTTTTTTTTTTTTTTTTTTTTTTTGCGGATGGAAACATCTAATGACGCCTTTCGCTCCGGGTGGAGCGTAAGGGAGTGTCAGACTTTTACTGACTAAAAACCATCCGTGTTCCTTCCGTGCCCTTACGTTCCGGAGCCGCGGTATCTCTTTCGAACAGCCCGCAGCCCCGGCAGGCGTCGGCCCTTGCGGGCCCCTTCACGCTGCTGACAGCGCGCGTGGAACAAAACGCGCCGTCGACACGGCCTGTCGTCGTTAGACGGACGGACGGCGAGCTAACCATTACTTCGCCGTCCACAGGCCCGCGCCTACGGTGGCCGGGGGGCCACGACGTAGCCCCCGACGCCCGGGGCGTTTCCCGCGGCGGCCGGGGAGGAAAGCTGCTGCTCTCTCCTTTTCCCGCTCCGCCACCTCCTTCGCTAGCATCACTGCTTCGCAGAAGGTGGTGACGGCATCCCATTCCGTCTTGCTCCGGACCATGGCTTCGACCAGGGCCGGACGCGAGAGGTCGCCGCCGCCTATCGCCGCTACGAGGACACGGCGGTGCTCCGCCCAAGCAGAGCACACCTCTACGGTGTGTTCCACCGTGTCCTCGGTCCATCCTCGCAGTGGGAGCACCCGGGCGTTTCCTCCCGCCCGATTCGGTGCAGGAACCTCCCGAACACACCGTGTCCGGTGAGGACCTGCGTCAGGCGGAAGGTGAGGATGCCGTGGCGTCTCTCAAGCCACTCCTCAAAGAGGGGTCTTATCGCCGCTATAGTGGCGTGCCCAAAAATGGCCGGCCTAGCGATTAATTTTACACATTTTTAAATCGATTCAAATCGAAATTGGATGAATCGATTCACAAAAAAATCGATTTCGCAAAAATCGATCTTTTTTTAATTTGCGTTAAAAGTTTATATTTACAATATCAAAAGATACAACAAAGTACAGATAACATTGAATGGTTGAACTAAAAATTGTCATTCTTTACGAGTTAGGGTACATTCAACTAATTTTAAATAATTTTACACATCTTAATAAAACAGAAAAAGATTCGATCTCGATTCTCTAGGGTGAAATATCGATTCACTAGATCGTTTCAGTACTATATATCGATATTACATTGACAGATGAAACGTCAAAAACGTAATTAATTAGTCATTTACTAATATTTTTAAAAAATATTAAAAAATACTCTGGCAGCAAAAATCGAGTGGGGGTGCTTCAGATAAACACCATTGACCCCCCCCCCCACAGTGACAGAATCTTTAAATTCAGGCGACCGAATTGTAAACCCAACCCGAAACCACAGTGAACCAACCTTATTTCCTCGGCATAGTAGTGGACTCTTCCGCCAGACGAACCAGGAGCTCGAGGTTCTGCATCAGCCACGCTGCTCTCAGACGACGTTGGAGACGCAGGCGGCAGTACCGACACGGTACTAGGAACAGTGGCGTGGGAACTACCAGCTATTGGTTTCGATAGCACAGTCATGAGCACAAGTGGCTTACTAGAGTCCAACACTTGCACACATGGGGGGCCTGCAGAAGAGCTCGCGACAAGTGGCTCATCAGAGTCCCAACACTTTCATTACACTTAATTCTACAGAAGGCACTTCATCACACGGGAGGGCCTGAAGAGGAGCTCGCAACAAGTGGCTCATTAGAGTCTAACACTTGCACTACACTGGATTCTTCAGACGACACAGCAGAACACGAAACTTGGGGCTTCGGAGACATAGTGGTATGTAAACAATCTCAACTGCTAGGGACACAAACAATGACTGAGGATGACACTGACAACACAAAATAGCATCAGTTTTACGTTTTGTTCCACAAGCCGGGAAAAGACCGTAAACACTGCACATTTTAATTTTAATAGCTAGTAATGAAAATAATTCTGTTATTTAAATATAAACTGTTAAATATATATGCATGCATGAAAACTATTAAAATGGATGCAAAATATAATTATTTACGTAAATTTATATAAAACAAAATGTTACCGACATATGACAAGTTAACCGTACTTAAAACGGAACATTCAATGGCGTGATATATCTGTAATACGATATAATCTATGATAGGAATTGACATAAATATTGCAAAAATTGTAAATATTGATTTTCGATAATTTTTTTCTCAAAAACTACGCGTTTCCGCATGTTGAAACTTTGCGTGTGTGCTTATATTAATGTCATCCTTCTGTAAAAAAAATATCAACCCCCAACTCAATGGACGTCAATGGAAAGCTTAGCCCAATAATTTGTTTATAGAAGAAACAACTCCACACATTAAAACATTAAAGTTGCAAATAATGAAACACTGTTTGTCCTAACCTCTGGAAAAATTAGCTTGAGTGTTTATTATGGAAGAGGCCAACAAAATGATATATTGTTTACAAATGTATTATATGTACCTGAAATAGCTACAAACCTGTTGTTAGTAAGTCAGATTATTAATAATGGTGGCCAAGTTAAGTTTAATAAGAGTGGCTGTGTTATTCTTAATAGAAAGAATGTCATAGTAGCAACAGCGAGTTTAATAAATAATATGTACCGACTGAACATGCCTGGTGGCTATGCATGCATATCAGATATTATTGAACAAGATACTTACCTGTGGCACCAAAGGATGGGTCATCTGAATTTTCAGAGCATGAAGAAATTGACCGAGAATACTGCAGATTTAAAGTTAAGTCAAGTCAAATAAAATGTTAAGTGTATAACATGTCAGAAAGGAAAACATACACGTTTATCTTCTAAAAGTCAAGGGTCTCAGAGCAAAGATCTACTTGAATTGATACACTCAGATGTCTGCGGACCGATGGAAATTCAGTCTTTGGGCAAAGCCAGATATTTTGTAACATTCCTCGATAACTACCCAAAGAAAATATTTGTGTATACCATGTAAAACAAGTCAGAAGTCCTAGAAAAGTTTAAAGAATTTAAAAAACAAGTTGAGAATCAGTTAAACCGCAGCATTAAAATTCTCAGATCTGACAATGGACTTGAATATGTCAATGAAAAATTTTCAAATTTTCTCAAAGATGCCGGAATAATACATCAGACAACTACACCTTATACACCAGAACAAAATGATACAGCCGAACGCATGAACAGAACTTTAGTAGAAAGAGCAAGATGTATGATGTTAAATGCTAACTTACCTAAAATCTATTGGGCTGAAGCAATTCATACAGCTGCCTACATTGTAAACCGCTCTCCAACAAAATCTCTGTTTTATAAAACCCCAGAAGAGGATATCGATTCATATTACCTAATTCAAGAACAGCAATAAAAAGTAGAGATGCAATATTTTTAGAGTCAACAGTTAAAAGAGATTTTGTACCGATTGAATTAATTACAAATGAAAGCTGTATTAAAAGTAACAATTTAGAAGAAATTTCAAGTGAGGACTCATTAGACACTGTGAGTGAACATAAATCATAGTCAGACAGCGAGTACATCCCCGATGAAAGTGTAGAATCTTCACCTGACAGAAATATAACAGTAATAACAAGAAGACAATGTTTAAATGCACAGAAACAAGAAGAGAGTTCTTACCTGTGCTGTGAAGACCAATTATCAGAAAATGAAGTTCCTGATAACTATGAAAAGGCATTAAAGTCTACTGATGCCACAAAATGGATAAAATCAATAAATGAAGAGCTTGATTCTCATCATAAAAATAATACTTGGACATTAGTTAGAAAAACTCCCAATATGCGAATAATTGGATGTAAATGGGTTTTTCGCATCAAAGAAGAACCTTCAGGTCCACGTTATAAGTCCCGGCTTTATGCGAAAGGATACTCACAAACCAAAGGTATTGATTACCAAGATACATTTGCTCCAACTCTCAGGTACGATTCCGTACGTATATTATTCTCAGAAGCAGCTCAACACAATCTTCAGATAATTCAGCTAGATATTAAAACAGCTTTTCTATATGGTGAGCTTGAAGAAGACATATACATAACTATACCCGAGGGCTTAACCTGCGATACTGATAAGCTGTGTAAACTCAATAAATCTTTATATGGTTTAAAACAGGCTCCCAGATGCTGGAATTCAAAATTTGATGCTGTTATAAAGAAGTTTGGGCTAGCCAATAGTAAAGCTGATCAGTGTGTGTATGTTGGCACTATTAATGGAGCAAAATGTTACCTGTGTTTGTATGTTGATGATGGACTGTTATTTGCGAAAAATACATCAACTTTAAAGGAGTTAATTAATGACTTACAGTCAATATTTGAAGTGAAAATCTGTTCATTCAAAAATTTTGTTGGTATAAAAGTAAAGTAAAGTTACAGCCTATATACGTCCCACTGCTGGGCTCAGGCCTCCATTCATTTCTGAGAGGGATTAGGGCAAGGAAGTGTCCGCCGCGCTGCCCAAATGCGTGTTGACGAACTTCACATGTCTTCGAAATATTTTTTTTTATTATTCCTCAGACATGCAGGTTTCCTCACGATGTTTTCCTTCACCGCCAAGCACGTGGTAAATCAGCACTTAAAATTGCAATTAACAATTTCATTGGTGCCGACGGGGATCGAACCCGGGTTACTCGCGTTCTGTTATATTTACAGCGAGCGTTAACCACTGAGCTACCACGGCTCTTGTTGGTATGGAGATACAGAAGTGTGACAAATACATTTTTATATATCAGTCAAACTATATTGAGAAGTTATTAAATAAATTTAATTTGTATAATTATAAACCAAACTGTATTCCAGTTGAGCCACATATGAAGTTGGAGAAAGGAGAAGGAGAAACAGAAAAGAACATCCCATATCGGGAAGCAGTTGGATCATTGATGCACCTAGCTACAGTAAGCCGACCTGATATTTCATTCGCAGTAAGCCTGGTGAGTCAATTTTTAAACTCTTACAATGAAACACACTGGAATGCTGTGAAAAAAATTTCAAAGTATCTAAAAGAGACTAAAGGTTATGGCCTGTGCTACACACAATATCAGAGCCTAATGTAGTAGTTGGCTACAATGATACAGATTTCGCTAACGACCCTAGCACAAGACTTTCAGTCACGGGATATGTCTTTATTAAAAATGGAGCAGCAGTGACTTGGGCTTGTCAGAAACAACAGACAGTGGCCCTGTCAAACACTGAAGCAGAATTCATGGCAGCCTGTGCCGCCACTAAAGAGGCTATGTGAGTCAAACAACTGTTATGTGACATCGATGAATTTAATCAAAAATCAGTGTGCTTAATTCTAGATAATCAAAGTGCTATAAATGTAATTTAAAACATAAACTTTCACAAACGGTGTAAACATATAGATATTAAGTTTCATTTTATAAAAGAAAAATATTATGATAAAATTATTGAGCGAAACTATGTATGCAGTGATGAGCAATATGCTGATATTTTTACCAAACATTTGTGTAAAATAAAATTTTGTTATCTTAGAGATAAAATTGGAATTAAATCTTGCCTTATAGTCAAGAATACTTAAATACTAAACTTATTGTTTGCTTTATGTCTGAAATGTAAAAATTAACAACTAGAAGGCATTAATTTAGGGGGTGTGTTGTAATATAAATTTGCGCCTTCTATAATCTGTGCTCTTGTATATTATTATATACTCTATGATAAAAAAGCACTCTCTCTACTCCGTGGTCATTATTAGTATAAAGTGTTGTATTTTGTCACTAATAAATGTTTGTTTAAATTCTTTAGAAAAGGATATTATTTTCATTTAATAATAACAATTAGTATAAGGGTTTTCATCAATATTACGTACATCACGTTACACTACATGTGTGATTATGACCGGCACGTATTACGGTAAGATCAAATTGTATTTGCTCTACACTGAATGTGAAGAGCGGTATGCTGTTTTATTGCTTATAACGATTAATTGCGAACGTTAAAGAGCAAGGTGAATATTTGCTCTCACAATATTATTATTTAAAAAACAACAACCCCTTAATGTATTAGTCAAAATTTTTAGTCTTTTATTCATTAATTAAGGTAACATGCGAAACACATGTAGATAGCTGGGCTATGGCTTTGGCTTGTAGCTGGTTTATGGCTAGTAAACTTCGTTGAAGTCAAAAAACAAAGGAAAAACGTAGTTATGAAAAACTTCGTATTATCTTTAATATAAGGTAATATGTAATTTACGCTGGACAGTTGGTCAACCAATTATAATATAGTACAAACCATTATAAAGTATTTTCAAAGCCCAATAGTTATGTGAAATTTTGTGTAAATGTTTTACATATTTATTTAATTTACTTGTTTATTCACCTTATTGGTTACTTGCTTATTTAGTGGCCTATGTACTTGCTCGTCTACTTGCCTATCTACTTGACAATTTCCTTCTTGTTTACTTGACCATTTATCTGCATTTTAACTTTCCTATTTTCTTGCCTTTTTACTTGCATATTTATTTTTTTACTTGTTTATTTTCGTAACTTGAACGTTTTTATACTTTTGTATTTACTTGACGTTTTATTTAACAATTTACT